CGAAGTGCGCTGTTCCTATATACCATGGTTCCATTTGGGCGACAGTGAGGAAGAATCCACTTGCTAATAGAATTACAGCGGAATGGGATAGTCAAATACCCGCGTAAAATCTCAATGAATCCCAAATAGCAATTACAGTTAAGCTTACTATTTCTCAGATTTTATTGCACCCCAATGAAGAAATAGACCATCGCTGCTATTGGAAACTTTTAAATCAATCTGAACATGACCTGAACTGGGTTGCCTTATATCAACCTGTTCAATCAAAGAAGAGAATATAATATTTTTCACATTAACTTAACAATGCCAATAGCTTAGAATTCCTACGTAAATGAAGAAATATGCACTTTTTATCAAATATCACTGACATATTTGACGAGTGCAACCGAGTATCATTCACAATTACTCTAGCTGAACCAGCAGAAATACCTGGAGTTCCATGTTTCCTTCAAGTTTGAATTTCTGTGCAATCTGCTTTAATAAATGAAACATAATGTAAAACTCTATACGCATTGAAATGGTTGAATGAATGCATGAAAACAAAGTAGAATATGGGCATTCATATAGGGTCGCTCCTCAATTTCCCTCAATCTGCTTAGGGTTTGTTTGGTTAGCCGGTGTGAAGAATCAGAAATCCCAAATCAATTCAAAGTGTTTGGTTGCCATTTTTACAGTTTTCATTCTGATTTCTCAAACTCCGAGGAATTGGTTTTCCACCCCCCGGCCGCCTCCAGCATGAGCATCATTCCGGTTCTTTTCTTCTCCAAATTACTCCCTTAGTCCCTCTCTTTCTTCCTTCTCCCATATCTCTATCTCCCTGATACCCTGTCTCACTCCCCCTATCTGAACACAACTTGTTGTAGCGGGGCATTTGAACACAATTTGCTGTGGCCGCTGAAAGAGTATAATTTGCTGTGACCAATTGTTATCAGAATTCGAGGAAGATGGTGGGTCTGATCGTTTCTTGAACATGAGAATTGTGTTCTCTTCAGGACCTCATTTCTTGTTATTAGAAATTACGGAGTAGTTTTTGTCATATGCCATTGGCGGACTAGTAAGGCTGCTGCTTCCTGCTGAATGATTGTTGGATGTTGTGATTTCATTTTTTCAATAGGTTTGTGATTTGATCTAATAAAAAAATTAGTTGAACCGAAGGTCATCAAGTAAAACTCAACTTTTTGTTTACAGTTTTGTTTACATTGATAATTTGTACCCCATTTGTACCCCGTACATTTTGTATTAGTGTAAAATTAGTTTTTATTAATGTACCAATACTTTGTGTCCGTGTAAATTTTTATTAACGCACCAACACTTGTATCGGTGTAAACCATCAAAATGTTTGTGTATAATTACAAAGTACAAATGGGGTACAATTTTTGGTGAATGTAGCATGGTTCTAATTGCTATGTACTCACTTGTCTTCATTCTTGAAATTCTTTTCGTATCGTTGATGGTTCACTAATGTTTAATTTATTTGTTTATAGATATAAAATTAAAGAGAAAAATTATACGGAGTATATTCTTAAAAAATTTTGCTTTTTCCCGTTTTTTCAAAAATAGTCTCATTTTTCATTGTTATCGAAAATAATCTCACTTTTCCACATATGTACGAGTTTTGGGTCGCACTTAAGATGATATAGGTCACTTAACGAAATTTTTGAAAATAACATGTTTTTCGTAAATAAATGAAAGGTGGAATTATTTTAGAAAATTTATCCATTTTCTTTTTTTTAAATTTTAAATTTTAAATTTATGCTATTAAAAATATAACAGTACACTCTTGTTAGATATTTGTCTAAGTTTTTTTTTAAAAAAAATAGAACGATTTACAAATTTTGTATTCTGTTCTAGAGGAAATATAATATTGAATTATTGGAAAATAATTCTGAGTATCGCTCATGAAAGAAAATACAATACAAACAAGTTGTAGTGAGTTATAAAAAATCAGTGGCGTTTTGGGAAAAAAATATTTTTCACAACTTTTTAATTGATATTTTGGGAAATATATACTGAATTATCGAAAAAAATCACAACTTTTGTAGTGCGATTTTAGGAAAAATAATAAGAGTAATAGAAGATTATCAATAAATATTTCGGAGTGTTGTTCATGAAAAAAATTGATATACAATAAAAAATATATTGAGTTATAAAAATAAAAGTTATTTTCACAACAAAAAATATAGTGAGTTATAAAAATTATTGTGTTATTTTCACAACTGTTGTAATATTGTTTTGCAAAAACACTTATACAGAATTATCGAAATTTTCACAAGTTTTGTAGTGCCATTTTTTCAAAAAAAAATAATAATAGCATAGTATTGAAAAACCATTCGAATTGCCGCTGAAGAAAATAATTGCAATTTACAAAAAATGTAGTGAGTTATGAAAAAAATAAATCAGTTCCATTGTGTAGAACAATTTATTGTGTAATTTAACAACTTTTGAAATTTAATTTGGAAGAAAGAGTTATTATGAGATTATCTTGAAAAAATAATTAGTTTCACTCTAAAAAAATACTTAAATTTGGTACTCCGTATTATTTATAAAAATATTTTAAAAAAATGCATTTAGATATAAGGTTAGAAATTGAAAAAATGAAAAAAAGAGAATTAACCTAAAATAATCTCACCTTTCATTTATTTACAAAAAAATAAGAATTTTCTAAAAATTTCGTTAAGTAACCGTTAACATCTTAACGGTGACCCAAAACTCGAATACATGAGAAAAGGTTAGATTATTTTTCGTGACACTGAAAAAGTAAGATTATTTTGGGAAGAGTGCAAAAAGGTGAGATTATTTGAAAGAATTTTCCTATTTAAAGAACTAGTACATCTAAGTATCTACAAAAGAAGATGTGAAATCACTTTATAGTTCTATCAAATGATTAACAAATTAAAAATAGATGAAAAATGTTACTATTAAAATTTAACCATGTGATCGAATAATAATTGGAAAAAAAGTAGGAGTCACTATCAATAAACTTAGTTTACACCAAGATTTATACACTACATGTACATCAAGTGTATTCGAGATACATAAACAACAATTGTCTCTGCACCACAAGACAATTGTTGTATATTTGTATATATGATACACTTGTGTATAAGTAGTGTATAAGTCATGGCCTACCCCCTAGCATAAAAAGGTTCATCTCATAAAAAACTTTTACATTTCCTTTTAATTTGTTCTAAGAAAAGTCTTTACTTTCAACTATTACAAAAACATGTGGATTTTATAATTTTTTCTCCTCTACATCATTTTCAATTTTACAATTTCATCTTTTAATCTCCTCAAGTTAAAGGGGAAACATATTATTAGAACGTAGGGAGTACCATGTAATGTCAATTCGTACAATCTCAACTTATTAAACTACCTAGAGTTTTTATCTCCACTAGAATGCGAACGTGTGACCTTTCCATTTGAGACAATCATCATGATACCGCAAGATAGTAAGTCTTGAGTTAGAATTTGAAACTCCAATTTTCTTTATACTCTCTAATATACTACATTCATCCCCAAATTATTTTTCAAATTTAATTCTTTGGAGTTTTAGAAATATATTTAAAAATAAAAATTATGTTGAAATTTATTTAGAATACTTAAATGTTTATAAGGTTTAGCTTGAAATAAATATGAAAATGAGAGTATGTTACTCTTTTCATTGTATATAAAGACTATTCTACCTACAATACATAACTACATTTAACATATTTATCTTGTTTGACATTCTACTTTATTTATCACGAATGGCTCGTCATTGATAGTGTCTTGTTTGAGAATAACATTTTCGATTATCGTTAGTGTTTTAGATAAATAAAATTTTAGTGGTGTAAATTGATTCTAAAAATACTCACGATAAAGACTACCATTAGATAATATTCTCAAAACATTAATGTGAACATCTAACGTTGAAGCCAAATGGAGTCAATGTTTGCATTATATTTGACATACTATTTTATAGGTTTCATTAACTGTTATCTTGTTTACAAGCTTATATTATTTTATAAAATAAGTAATGAGAATATGAAAATAAAGTAATCTAATCCCGTAATAAAGAAAGGTAAATTCTTTTTAGAATGGCAAAGTTAAATACACCACATCAACTTAATAACCTCGTAGTGCATATTATGTTATTACGGAGTATTTTTTAAAAAATAAACTTTACTTATTTTAAAAACAACATTATGCAAAAAAATTTAAAACTATCCACCATTTATTTAATTTTATTGATACCAATATGCATTCCACAATTTTAATTTTTTTAATCTACATATTTATTTTATTATTTAGGTATACTCCTTTTGTCTCAATTTAAATTATCTATTTTGGTTTACGATGTTTGACTGAAGTTATTTTCAATACAATTTACTTGAGAATTGGAACGAGATTAAAAAATAAAAATTACATACTAAAAAACTACATCAAAACTCTATGAAACAAGAAGTGACATCGCTATCTTATTTTATCAAATGAATAACAAAAATAGACAACTTAATTTGAAACTAAGGATGAGAATTTCTACCTGACCTAGTAGATAATCGTTCCACCGACCCGCTCTCATGGATAAAAACCCGAAAAGAAAAGGGTGATGGACAGATGATGGGTGGACTAGATGAATCAGGTCGGATGTGGATGATGTGGATGGAGATGTGTTTCACCCGTCACCCGATCAATCACCGACACATTCATATTTATTTTAAAAAATTAAAATTGAGAAAATTACCTTTATGGAGTTTGTTCTTGTTGGGATTTCAAGCGCGTAAGACTCTTAAAATATCAAGAACGTGAAAAATAAATAAACACACTACACAAGAAGAAAATATGAGAAAAAAAATATATCTTCACTTTTTCAGAACGATACACAAAAAACTCTCCCTGATTACAAGCGCTAAATACCAAACACTTATAAACAGACTTTTCACACCCTACACCCGGATGTATTTTTCTGAATAACTAAATAATAGTTACTCCCTACACTCACTCACACAATTTTGGTGATATCTTGTGTAGCACCTTTCTTTTAACCCTCCTTTCTTTCTTAGCCGTGTGTATACTTACTAAGAAGACCATGCATGGCTTTTAAAGCCAAGGGAAGTACTCCTGCAAATGACCACAAGCACAAGAGTCCAAAATTTGATTCCCTTCCATCAAAAAAATCCACACGCAATTTGATTCCTTTGATTTCTTTCTTTTCTTTTTTTTTTTGTTTCTTTTGATTATTTAATCAAATATCCCAACAGTTCTACTTTTCGATGTTCCATTTTATAAAAGTCTAGTTTGTAACATGGAAGATTGTTTCTTTGCAAAATTTTAACACAAATATTATTAAGCTCTTACTTTTATAATAAGACTTTTACAGTGCTATAAGCTGCATAAGTTTTTTTTATTTTATTGGATTAATGATTAAAAGAATAGGAAAAATTATCTTAAATTATCCTAATTTTTCACATTTTTTTCAAAAATAATCACACTTTTCATTGACACCAGAAATAATCTCACCTTTCTGCATGTGTGCGACTTTTGGACCGTCGTTAAAAAATTAATGGTCACTTACCAAAATATTAGGAAAATGCCTATTTTCACAAATAAATGGAAGGTGAGATTATTTTAGGTAAATTTACTTTTTCTTTTTAATTTTAGTTTTAAAATTCATGTTTTTTAAAATATAATAGTACACTCTTGTTAGAGATTTGTCTCATTATTTAATATAACGATTTACAAATTTTGTTTAGGGGAAAATATAATCTTGGATTATCGAAAAATAATTTAGAGTATCGCTCGAGAAAGAAATAACAATTCAAAAAAATTGTAGTGAGTTATAAAATTAATTAGTGTTGTTTTGGAGAAAGAATATTGTGTGATTTTCACAACTTTTGAATTGTTATTTTGGGGAAAAAGCTGTACTGATATATCGGAAAATTACAAGTTGTGTAGTTAATTCTATTTTAGCAAAAAATAATACGGGTAGTAGAAGATTATCAATAAGCATTTCGAATTCATGAAAAAAATTGTAATGCAACAAAAATATAGTGAGTTACAAAAATAAAAGTTCCATTTCAGAGAAAAAAATATTGTTTTATTTTCACAACTGCAATAATGTTGTTTTGCAAAAAAACATTCATATAAAATTATCGAAAAAATATTCACAAGTTTTGTAGTACCATTTTTTTAAAAATAATGATAGTATAGTATCAAAGAAATTCAAAGTGTCGTTCAAGAAAATAATTACAACTTACAAAAAAACTGTAGTGAGTTATGAAATAAATAAATTAGCTCCATTGTGTAGAATAATTTATTGTTTAACTATTACTAAATTATCAATTATTGAAAAAATAATTAATTTTACTCTAAAAAATACTTATATCTGGTGGAGTATTTTTTAAAAAAACATTTTTAAAATAATCATTTAAAATAAATTTTAGAAATTAAAAACATGAAAAAAAGAGAATTTATCTAATATAATCCCACCATTCATTTATTTGCAAAAATAGGCATTTTTAAAACTTCCGTTAGCTTTTAAGTGGCCGTTAGATTTTTAACGATAACTCAAAACTTGCACACATACGGAAAAAGTAACTCGATACTTGTAAAAGTTATTTGATGTCTAAACTAAGCCCGAAGAAACATAACCAAAACATAGATGAATATAAATATAAATTTCGTAAATCATTAGGGATAAATTTGAAATTTTTTCTCCATTTAATATATAAAATAATAAAAGGAAAAAACTAAAATAAAGTATTAATTAAATTAACTTCTAAATATTTATGGGAAAAAGAATTAAAATGGGATGAATGTGTAATTGTATTTAGTTTAATGGTTATTTATCTAAATAAGATTAAAACATAATGACTTTCTCAATATAGGACCATATGTTTTTATTTTTCAATATAGGACTATTAAATACTGTCTATTAGTCATTATTCAACTAAATATACAGCATCACTTAGGCATTAGTTTTCTCACTAGTCATTATTAAATCCTATTTAGAGAATAAAACAATTTAATTCCTACATTAAGAAATGACTTATGTTTTAGTTTTATTCAGTGTAAATTTCACTTTGAACCCGTAAGAAACCAACGTAATTAACAGCATTATAAAAGGAAGATGAGAAATTAAAGGTTTGGTCCTTGAGGCCTATTGGTGACCTGTAAACCGGCTTGGATACCCTTATGTTTCAAAATTTACAATTAGGGTGCTTCTATGTTACAAATTGAAACTAGAGTACTTTTTTTTATAATGTTGGTCAACAAAATAAGATTCACTACGTTACACTCATTTGAAAATGAGTTTCACTATGTTACACATCGGTGAAATTCTTATGACATTGGAACCTCATATCATGAAATGAATCGAAGATGCTTCAATGTCTCGTTTGTAAAATTGACAGTTTCTACCTTAAATCCAGTAAAACCCACCCCGCCCCGGTGTCCCTTTTTATAATAGAGAAATTTATTTAAATAGGACTAAAACATAATGACTTTCCTAATATAGGACCATATACTTTTATTTTTCAATGTAGAACTTTTGGTCATTATCAAGTAGTCATTATTCAAATAAATGTCTATTATTACTGGACATCATTCCTCCCACTAGGTCATTATTAAGTCCTATTTAGGAAATAAAAAAATTTAGATCCTACATTGAGACTATGTTTTAGTCCTATTTAGGCAAATTTTACTTTTTCATATTACCTGGGAAGAATGATGGGTGGCAAACATGGACTCAAATGATCCAGGAACTGGTCGATGAGCTGCCGCCATTGAAATGTCCTCTTTCAGCAGAGCAAATCTATCAGAGGACCATAACAATTCAGACCACAATAAAGGAGACTTCCGTGACTGTGACCTCACTTGGCACCCAAACAAGGAACTACCCCCGACATAAGAAACGGATCCGGATCCGATTCCCCCACGGCATTCCAACACCGCACCCGGAAGAAACCTCCGATGCGCCGCCGCCGAATTACTCCCCATCAAACACCACATATTCCTCCCTCACCTCCCAGATCTCAACACTCAAAATCACCAACAGCTACGGCTTCAAATTAAATACATTCATAATCAAATAATCGATTAATCGCCTTCAATTCCATCACAGGATTACGCACAGGAACTCCCGGAGATCGGAACCGAACTGGATCGATCCCGACGAATTCCAGATCCGCAGATGAAATGGACGATCCAAATGTGGCGATAGGTCGGAGTTCGGAAAAGGAGCCGATCGGAAAATTAGATCGTTTTAGGCGATCGTCGGAAGCCGGACGGACGCGCCGGAGAAGAATCGGGATGAGGCGGCGAGAAAGTGGAGGATTATGATTACACTGCGGCAGCATATTTTGAAGAGGAATGGTGAGAGGAGAGTGGGAGAAGGCGGGAAGCGGAAAGCAGAGAAAACGTAGAGGCAAAGAAAGCTGGATTCTTTGTGCCCCCTCCGTCCAAAACAAATTTCCGCTCCGGTATTCAAAATTTCAAATTAAAGCTTCACGTCTCTGTAAGATCATTCGTGTTCGCCTCTATGGATTAGACCACTTGTTTGAGATTATAATTCAATAAACTCTTTCCCTTGTGACATTTAACCAAAATAATGAAAGTATATGCTCCCTCTTCCACAAAACTCTTCCTCTTTCGTTTTTTTGCTTTCCACAAAACACTTTCACTTTCTATTAAAAAACCACTTTTACCCCTACTTTTTCATACCCTACCTATCACATCATACTTTTTCACTAATAACCAAACTATCTCATCTTACTTTTTCCCATCACATCAGGGGCAAAATTGGAAAGTCAACCAAAATTTCACTTTTCTTATATTTCCCCAAAGTCAAAACCGGAAGGTTTTTGTGGAACGGAGGGAGTATATGATTGACTCTTCAATTTTATCTTTGATGTAATAGGTAAAAGTAAGTTATGATAGTTAGAATATTAGTGAAAAAAATATGATGTGATAGGTAGGATATGAAAAAATATGGGTGAACGTAATTTTTTAATAAAAAGTTAAAGTGTTTTATGAAAATAAAAAATGAAAGATGAAGGGTTCATTGAAATAATGTGAGTATATTATGAAATAATGAAAGATAAAATGTTTATTGAAACAAAGGGAGTATATTAAAGTGAAATCATTGTTTTTGAGTTTCATGAAAGGAAATTAAAGAGATGGAACACCTTTAGCATATTCTACAAATTAAAACATCATAATTAAGAATCAAGTTTTTTTTGCCAGGAACGCAACTTAGGGGATTGAAGTGCGAATGTCAAAAGAGGTAAACGTGGATTCGACTCTTGACAACAACGATAAAGAATGATCATGATGATCTGAACGAAATTTCTTACACGTCCTAAAGACATTCTTTACTTCTTAGCGAGTATATCATAATTTATCTCTCTTTCCAACCTACTCTCGGATTCAATATTAAGAGGACTTTCGGATTCGAATTGGAGTTCAACCTTTTTCCAATCAAGCTAATTTTCATCTCCTCTTGTCGTTTTCATTCTTTCTTGCAATAGATATAATACATCCTCGAAAATACCTCAATTTACTAGCTACTTGCTTTAATTTGAGCTACACAACCCACTCGCAAAACAATTGTATCAAACTTTTGATTGAAAATAACTCGCAAAATATACAGACGACTTCATGTAATTAAAAATTATGCGCATTAAAAGATACTCGGTAATAATATATATGAGTAATTATTAAAATTCTGATATTACGTATTCTTTAAATGCAAATTCTTATTTGTACTTAAGGTATATATTAATTTTATGAACTTTAGTTCATTAATATCACAAGAGAATAGAACTTTTTACAAAAAAAAACTTGCAAACCCATGAAAAATATAATTATATGTGGACCTTAAAACCACGGAAGAGTAACTAATTTTTCAAATTAAATACATAGATCATGTGTAATTTTACATTTTTCATTTATTTTAAATTGACCGTTATGAATCTTTCTCATACACAAACTTTTAATGATCAATTTAAACATAACGGAAAAAGCATAACTCTACCCATTATATACTCCGTATATTTTTATGCATATTTACTCATCCACAAAATAGACAATTAATAATTTTACTGTTGTGTAACAACAGCCAAAGTGTTGTCGAGATATCGGGCGTAAAGCTTGATGGTGGTCTTCAAAGGGTACCCCACGCCAAAATCGTCCAGCGCGTCCCCACAGTCGCTCTGTAGGGCCGCGCTGAGGCGGGTCATAAGGGTTCCGTTGTCCTTGGCCTTGAGCGCCTCGAGCGAGAGCCTGAGGTCGTCCACCGCGTCCTCGAAGCTCTCGTCGCACGTCTTGACGATGGACTCCTTGGAGTCCGCCGGCAGGCCGGCGGCGGCAGCGGAGATGACGGCGCCGCTCATGGCCCGGAGCTTCTCCGCCAGCTCGAGGGTGGCCTGGATGGAGTTCGCGGTGGCGTCGTGGAGGCTCGCCGCCCCGCCCACCATCCGCGTGCAGAGCCGCTTGCTGCTGGCGGTTCTGCAGAACCGGCTCACGGGGGAGCCGGGCTTGAACGCCGGGAGGAAGGCGTCGGCGCCGCCGCCGCAGAGGAGGAGGAGGAGGAGGAGGAGCGCCGCCGGCAATGCTACTACTACCCTTTGGGGCGTCATGTTTTTTTCTCGATTTTGTGAGGTAGTGGTTTTCCGGCGCGGCGGGGTCGTCTGAAAGTTGTGCCCTTCACCGCCTCTTGGATTAATTAGCCGGGAGAAAAGGCGGGTAGGGATTAAAGGTTAGATTAGGGAAAAGGAATGAGATATATAGTGATTAGTTTAAGTCCGAAAATTAGGGGCGTTCATTCACGGAATGAAACGACGTTTATGGTGGCCAAAATATTCGCCACATTTTAGCCTCTCAATTATGTTGACCAAGAAACCATTCGTCAATCAATATTAATTGATGCAAATTACTCCATCCTCCGAATTTTTTAGTTAACAGAATCGATTCAACCAAAAACTCAAATTTGTAGTTGTACTCTCACGTGCAGGCGAGATTTATTTCTACGCTAGTCTTGCACGTGAAAATTACTTTTTTAAAAATTGGATAACAATGAGGTCGTCAAAGCTTTGATACCATACCAAAGGAACCGATTCAACCAAAACATTAAGCTCAGATGGTGATTATAGGTCTAAGATAAGTTTTATACTCTAACATTTAGGTTAATACTAATTTTCCAGACCCTTTTACATATAAAATTGTTATAAAAAATAGATCCGATTAGATAAGTTCGTGAAAAATATGTGAGAATGTCAAATATGAACCTTAAGAACACAACAACACAACTTCAAATTGTAATAGAAAGAGCAAATTAGGAAGAAGAGATTTTTTTTTGTTTCAAAAAAAAGGAAGAAGAGATTTCATTTCCTAAGTTTACCACATCTTTAAATAAATTTATTATGCCATATTAGTGCTTATACGCATTGTACACAATGTCCTAAGCACATAGTAAAATAAAAATATACTGAGTATCTTTTAAGGAAAATATATAATGGCTGAGGCAAAATCCTAAAAAGTCTTCTAGTTCAAAAGATGTTTCAGTTTTTGTACAAAAAAAGTCCAAATTACTCAAAATGTAAAATTTTTAACTACATGTGTTCAGCTTTAATAGTTCTTTTTTTGGCGTATCATGGTTGTGTTGTTCATTTCAATCATAAAAAATTGAAAACTAAATAAAAGGGAAGTGAAGTTTGGAGGTGGTTTGTAGATGAAAAAAACTGAGATGACCCTGATACCTGATCTTGACCTTAAAATTATCTCCATTCATTTGCAAAAGCTCAAGCTAAAAATTTACTACTCCATCCGTCCCAAAGTATTTGTCCACTTTCATTTTTACATACCATTCAATGAACTTCTTTAATCCATTTTATCTTGTAATTTGTATATTAAAAAATTATAGAAATTATATATTAATAATCTATATGTTAAGACAAATCAAACAAGATCACACATGACTATATTTAGGCTTACACATTGAGAGAATTTGATGAGTCAACGTGCTTAGATAAACAGTTCCAAAAATCAAAAGTGGACAAAAACTGGGGGACGGAGGGAGTAATTTGCTGCATCTGAATTTTGGAGGTGGTTTTCAGATGCTTCAAAATAGAATTATTGAAAAAAATTAGAAATATAAAACTAAATAAAAATATAAAAATGGAGGAAGAGTAAGACTTGCTGCTCTTATTGACTCAATCGTTGCTTCTATTTCAAATGAATATACTTTCGGGACAGGACTACATTGCGAGCATCATTTGTTTCAAATGAATATACTAAGGGTTTGGCTCACTGTGTGTTATTAGGTTGGAAAAGTATGAACAGATACTAAATTGTGATCGAGTCAATAACAAAAAAATTAAAAGTGCAAAATAAATTAGGCCAAAAAAGTAATTATCTAACATAATTGAGAAAATATATTACGTGCTAAATTGAATTATTGTATTTTGATCTAAACAAATTAAAACTAGGCAAAACTAAAAATAATTATTCAAATTATTATCTATATTATTATTACTATTATTATTAGCAGTGTTGTTGTTGTTACTATTATTTTTATCATCATCATCATCAATGTTGTTATTAGTATTATTTTTATTATTATTATTATTATTATTATTATTATTATTATTATTATTATTGTTATTGTTATTGTTATTGTTATGATCATCATCTTCATTATTATTATTTTTATGATTATTATTATTATTATTATTATTATTATTATTATTATTATTATTATTATTATTATTATTATTATTATTATCACAACGAGCGTGAAAAGTCAAAGTGGGGAAACAATGAAATTTTCCATATTATACCAAAGATCACCGTTAAACTCATACTCCCTCCGTCCCGGAGTATTCGTCCAGTTTTGACTTTTGGAACTGTTCATCTAAGCACTTTGACTCATCAAATTCTCTCAATGTGTAAGCCTAAATACAGCCATGTGTGATCTTGTTTGATTTGTCTTAACATATAGATTATTAATTTATAATTTCTATAATTTTTTAATATACAAATTACAAGATAAAATGGATTAAAGAAGTGTATTGGATGGTGTGTAAAAATGAAAGTGGAAAAATACTCTGGGACGAAGATAGTATCTTTTTACACTAGTACTGGACGTTCTTATAGAGGATATGCAAGAACCAATACCACGGTGCATGTTTTTTGCTGATGACATCATCCTTATGGGCGAATCACGAGAGGATTTGAATGAGAAGTTAGATGCGTGGAGACAAGCTTTGGAGTTGCATGGATTGCGTATAAATTTAAATCACACTTATGGATTAGAGATTTTATCTAATACAATATTGTTTGAACAGTACAATTAAACCAAATCTAATCCGACTCAATATACAAGTTAGATAAGTTATTTGAGACAGAGAATAATATATTTGAAAGGATGAGTGAATATTCTGGTACGAATTTACTCCCAAATACATTGAAAGCCACTTCCCTTCACATGGCCTTGTTGGGGGTACATGCATCATTCTTCTTTTATGTTGAAGACATTCACACCACAAAGAGGGGGAGCTACATAGAGGGAGGCCAAGGGAGTACATATATATAAATTAGACAGTGCGAAAAACATGCATTCTCCGTCTCCTTTTGAACACTTAGCTTCTGTTGGAGCTCCATTAATGGCTCCAAGCTTATACACTCATGTATATGTGAAAATTTACGAGAGGAATTTTGATGATATTTTTTGTGTGTCCATTCTCAAAAGATCTTCTCCCTTTAAATAGGGAGAGAACCAAAACATACAAGGAAACCCAATCATAGTAGGAAACAAATACTTAAACATATAAGGGAAGTAAAATATGGCCAAGAAAGGAAAAAGAATCCTGGAGGAAATCTTCTGCTGCGGTGCGTGACTTGCGGCCCAAGGCTACCGGCCAATACCCCCCCTCAAGCTGGTGCATGCGGGTTACGGATGCCCAGCTTGGGCAACAAATGATCAAACGTAGGAGATGGGAGTGCTTTGGTAAATAAGTCGGCAGGCTGATCACGAGAGGGAATATGGCATGTGCGGAGTATACCCCGCTGAATTTCATCCCGAACAAAGTGGCAGTCGATCTCAATGTGCTTTGTGCGTTCATGAAAAACCGGGTTAGCGGCAATGTGGAGGGCGGCCTGGTTGTCACAATGTAGTGTCATAGGAGATGTATGCCGCACGCCAAGAGAGAGAAGGAGAGATTTCAACCATTTTAGTTCACAAACCGTCGTGGCCATAGCCCGGTACTCGGCCTCAGCCGAAGACCGAGAAATCGTGTGTTGTTTCTTTGTACGCCAGGATACCGGAGAGTCACCAAGTTTGATAAAATAGCCAGTCACAGAGCGTCGTGTGAGTGGACAGCTAGCCCAGTCGGAATCACAAAAACCGGTGAGAGTGAGATTGCAATGAGCTGGAAGAAATAGACCTTGTCCTGGGCGCTGCTTGATGTAACGGACAGTATACATGGCAGCATCCCAATGTTCCTGTTTTGGGGACCCCATGAATTGAGAGAGTGTGTGAACAGCGTAGGCAAGATCGGGACGAGAGATGGTGAGGTAAATAAGCCGGCCTACTAACCGGCGAAATCGGCCAGCCTCATCGCGACCCAGCTCGGCCCCAGAAGCTAAGGCGAGACGATGGTTGACTGGAAGAGGCGCCACTGTCGGGCGTGAGCCAAGCATTCCTGTTTCGGTCAGAATGTCCAACGAGTACTTGCGCTGGCATAAGAAAATTACATGTGGACTGCGAGCAACTTCAAGCCCCAGAAAATATTTTAAGGGTCCCAAATCCTTCATGTGAAAACAAGTAGACAAAAAATGCTTGAACCAAGCAATAGACGGTTCGTTGTCACCGGCAATGACCAAATCATCAACATAAATGAGGACCCGTAGCTGAACACCCCCCTGTCAAAAATAAAGAGAGAGTAATCTGCCTTTGATTGTACAAACCCGAACGAACGTAGGGCGGATGTCAACTTTGCAAACCAGCAACGCGGTGCTTGGCGTAAACCGTATAAGGATTTGTGAAGACGACATACCAAACCCTGTTGCCGTGCGGATGAGCCCGGGGGTAGGCACATGTATACCTCGTCATCGAGATCACCATGGAGAAAGGCATTATGGACGTCCATTTGGTGCAAACTCCAGTTTCTAGCGGCCGCCACCGCGAGTAGCATACGAACAGTAACCAGTTTGGCAGTGGGTGCAAAAGTTTCTTTGAAGTCGATGCCCTCCTTCTGTTTATTTCCCAGCACGACTAAACGTGCTTTGTAGCGCTCAATAGTCCCATCCGATTTATGCTTGATCTTGAATACCCATTTTGAGCCAATAGTTTTCTTTCCCGGGGGAAGAGGCATGAGCGTCCATGTTTTATTAGCTTCGAGAGCTTGGATTTCTTCGGCCATGGCTTGTCGCCAATGGGGATGTTGGACGGCTTCGGCATAATGAGAGGGCTCCACCTCGGTGCTGATTGCTGCCAAAAAAGCTCTATGCGACAAAGAAAAATTGTCATAATTAACAAATTTGGTAATACAATGATTAATACCTGAGGACAAAATCGAAGGCGGGGAGGCGCCCGAGGGTCCTTGAATAGCGTGGACAACAAAGTCACGAAGTCGGGTGGAGGGTTGTCTTTCGCGGGTACTTCGGCGCAGAGGGATGGGCTCAGGGCTGTGTACGGGTTCGGGGCTGTTTTCAGGGCTGTTTTCGGGTTCAAGGCTGGTTTCGGTGGCAGGT